CTGCGATGAAGGAGAGCTAACAGAGGGAATGTGCCCTCTACCTTTTAGACAAGTGTATCCCTGAGACACCCAGGTTGAGAAAAATGCTTACAGCCTAACTACTTCTACAAAAACAGAGTATGCTATACAACTGCTTGCAGCTATTAGTACCGTATTGATGCTCTCATTATTGCTCCGTCAAGGGCGCTGATTGCACCTTCTCTGAAAAAACAGCTACCACTAATAGACAATGTGTGGTTATGTGTGTCTCTGTTCCCATGCTCAGTGTGGTCTTCAGTTATGTCAGTCCTGCTACAATGCCTCTTGCTTCTGTTGTTCCCTAGTGTGTAGAAGCATCATTGAGCAGACAGCAGCCCGGGGCACAGTGAACAGCCCTCGCTGGAGACGAATGGATGCACACCCTCACTAGAGTCGCCCTACTCTACCAGAGATCAAGTGTGAGGCGAGACCTCTCCCAGGAGTCCCATCATTAATTAAGTGTGATATTGCTCAACCACCCCTGCCTGGATCAGCTCACTCCATCTATGGATAAAATATGATCGCACACCTCTTACTTCTCGGACCCTGGGGTGGCATGCAAGAGTGGGGAGTCAGAGAGCTGTGCCAATATAGTGCAGGTGCTGGACCCCAAACCACTCAGAACAACCCAACATCAGTCACAGCCTGGCACCCACAGGGAATGGAAACCTGTCAACTTCTACAGGTACTTCTTTTGCTCTGTGCTGACAGGCAGCAAGGGAGCACTAAAAGTGAGACCTATGGAAAATTAATTTGTGGGCACAGCATGAATCAAACTGCCTGAGATCCTGAAATTGATCTGGGAGAGCTTTTCTTAAAAAAATAAATAAAATAAAACCTTACAACAAACCCATGGAGATCTTGTCAGAGAGAGAACATTCTTGTAGAGGTATTTTGACTAAATATACTTAATAAGGATGTTGTGGCTGAGACCTGGATCTCTAATTTTGCAGTTAATGTGAGAGTGCCTTACAGAATTCATAGATCAAAGCAGAAAAAATAAAGCTCTCATAAAATGTGTGATTTGTTTCATTGAGTTTATGCTAATAGAATGCATTACAGATTAATTATTTTTTATAAGTGCATTATAGTGCTTTAATTTACCATAATATAGCAAAGTACCATTATATAGCAACATTCCTGTCAAATATTCTACTAACCTTAACCTAACCCCAACTAACCCTAAAATCAAAACGCAATGTTGTTAAAGAATGTTAGTCCCAAAACCCAGCCCTCAATCTAACCCTAGTCCTAAACCCCATTCCAGGAGTAGCAAGGACGTTAATCCAGGAGCATGCCTTACATGGTGAAAGCACAGACTGTAACCATGTATTAATATCCATCCATTCATCGATTCAATATATTGCTTCTACTATGTAGGGTCGCGGGAGTGCTGGATTCTATCCCGGCGTCTCTGACCGAAAGCAGAAAAACACCCTGGACAAGTGGTCAGCACATTGCAGAGCTAACATACAAAGACAGACACACAAATTCTCACTGTCACTCATACCTACTGCAGTCTCTAGTTCACCTAACCTGTAGGATTGTCTGTATGAGGGTCTTTGGGGGAAACTGGAGTACACAGTGGATCCATGCCAACATGGAGAGAACATGCAGAATCCATAAAAAATGGCCATGGCTCAACTGAGAACCTTCTTGCTGTGAGGCAACAGCCAACACATTCTCATCCTTTGGCGTCATATAGGTGACGCCATATGACATTTCGTCGAAATCTTACGCACATGGCATCCTTTAGCGTCAATATAACACGCACTGTTATGGGTAGGTTTTGGTCTGGGGTAGGGTTACGGTTATGACGCCTTGGGATCTGCATCTCATATTGACGCTAAAGGATGCCATGTGCGTCGGATTTAGACGAGCGTCACCTGTATGACGCCTTGGGTTCTGCGTCTCATATTGACGCTAAAGGATGCCATGTGCGTAAGATTTCGACGAAATGCCCAAAGCGTCACATGTATGACGCCTTGGGATGAGAACGGGCTCCAACAGTGCTAATATAATAACACGATAAATAGCATTCATTCAGGGCTGTGGCCTAGCAGTTAACAAGTTAAGTCATGGTGCTTACATGATAAGAGTTCACATCCAGCTCCTGTTTCTATTGCAAATATAGATAGCAAAAAGGTCAAGAGGTAAAAAAAAACCCTTCATGCTCTGAAATGGTCTGTTTGAAGGCTCTTATCAATGAATGGGTTGCCACCGTACTGATGAAGTCACGTCGGAGTCAGCGCTCGCTGACATGAGAGGTTATTATTTTGCTGGTTGATCTGTTTAAGGGTGAGGAGAGAATAAGTCTTCTTTGCCTGTCGCTGAGCAGTGCCCTAGGGAGAGTTATGGCTTTAATACGAAGACTGCTGCTTCAATTTTTCCTCTAGCATCAATAAAATGGTCAGCACAATCAGACATTCATTGGCCTCACGTCAGAATGTGTTAAAGAAAGCATTCTGGAAGTCGACAGACGGCACAAGGCATCTAAACAGCACATACAGACAGAAATGCTATGATCACCCCCAGGGAAGAATGTCATCAGATACTCACCATTATATCGTTCCGACCCTTTTTTTCTTCTTCTAAGAAGCACAAAATGAGATATTAGGCAGAACTGAACTCTTTTCCAACTTGGAGAGTGATTTATAATCCCAAGCTCCAAAATGGACAAAAAAGTTGCATAAAATGATCAAAAGTATATTCAATATTTTCTAAAACAAAATGATAGCTTTGTGTGAGGAACAATCCAAAATTTAAGATATTTACTGATAATCTTCACTGGACCGCACAAATGCTCACTTGTGTGGAGTTTTACCTTTTTACCTACTTGCTTTCATTTTTACCAAATGCTCACTTGTGTACCTTTGAACACATGAGTCACATGAGGTCTGATGTCTTTGGGGGCTTTTGTTTTCCTTTTTTTTTGAGGAAGGGAAGTCCTATGGGTTTGGAAAGACATGAGATGATAATTTCTCCCCACTTTTTGACACTTTATTTGAAATGTTTTACACATTTGAGGAAATCCACATTTGAATGCTGGATATGGACACTCACTATTTGAAAATTTGATTTCAACAGGTAAAAGTAGGATACTTTTAAGGAAATGTCCAACATTTTAGAAATACTTTTAGCTGTGTTGTTATGTGTCATGAGTAGAAAATTGAGTAGGCTAACACTCTGTCTCTAGAGCACACGCGAGAATCTCGCTTATAATAAACCCATCCAAAATATCTTGCACCAGGAGCATTTTTTGAGTTTTTGACATTTTTCTACTTTTTGAGGCTTTCTACACTGGACACAAAGTAAACATTATAACCTGGAACAGTTGCCTTTCTGAATGGGTGCATGATGATGATCGCAATGCCCCATTCACTTTGTGTTCAAGACCTGTTTAATCTTTGAAGGTCTAAATGCAGCAAAGGCTTGCACTCGTGTACCCAAAGCTGAATTTCTTTTCCCATGTAAAGCATCAGCTACACTACAGCTACAGAAGCTGGCTCGGCCTGCTACAGTAGCCACGACCCAAACTCTCGCTATAGGTTGCGCTGGATCTTTCCAGCGCAACCTATAGCGAGAGTTTGGGTCGTGGCTCAACTATGGCTCGTGACTGACTGATCTGAGCGGACCACTCTCAAAATTTAGATGGTTCAATGTTTACACTTTTCGGAGAGAGATAAACCCACGAATGGCATATGAACAATAATCTCGGTTAAAGAGATACTTCACCTCTGGAAAGATGAATGTGTATTTAAAATGGGTCATTTATGTTGTAGAAATGTGAAATTATCTTTGAATTTGGAGCCTTCTAGACTGAGTAAAGCCAGAAAATGTATTTTTGGCTTATGGGCATGAAAGACAGCAACTACCAGAATGCACTTGCTTCGCTGCCCAAGGAGGCCACTCCCAAGCCACGCAGTTAAACAACAAGGCTAGGCTACTAGTAAGTCTCCGTGACGAGTCTGCCCGGGATTTTGTGATCGCCCAAAATGTCCAGGATTAGGCTTTTGCGTTCTAAATTCATCATTCATCATGTTTACTGTGGCAAGCAGGACGAGGCTAGGGCCGTGGGAGAACGACGCGAGGCCGGTGGCGTGAACCGGTCTCGTATCTCTCACGGAGGAGCGGGAATTTTCTTAGCAATGCTACCGATCACTTGTTTAGCGTTGATATAAACACGGCATTCAGATTCACCAATCGGAATGAATTCAGTTAGATTGAAACAAAAGATGGCATGAAAACAATGAATGGCAACTGCAGAAAGCAAAAGCTGAATCACGGATATTTTGGACGATCTCGACGGCCGGACATGTCCGGGAAAAAGAGGATGTATGGTACCCCTACTATTTAGCTTTCTCCACAGAACAAGAGCCTGTTAGCTTAGCTTCCAAATAAAAGATGGCTGACACTATTTTGTACATTCTGTGAGTGAGATCTATGGGCGGGTTGGAAACATGGAACCTAACAGCTCCTTCTACTGGCTGTAGTCTTTCGCCTCTGGCCAAAAAATCCTCCGATGACGCAAAATGACGATTTTTGCATCATCGGAGGATTTTTTCCAGACAAAAAATACATACATTTCTCGTCTCAGGGGGATATGAGGGAGGAAAGCATGATAATTCGAAAATACTACAGGTTTTCTAATGATACAAAGCTTAATGCTAAATTCTGAAGTATCCCTTTAACAATAAAAACATCTTACATAGTTCCACTTTAATACTAAGAGGATAGTAGTTAAAGGTTTAGACATGAGATCTGAGGTCTCTTAATTTCTAAAGTTTTAATTTGTTCTAATTCATGGTACCAAGTTGTGTTATATGGCATCAAGTGGATGATTTTTTTAGACAAAAACATAAATGCACAATAAATGCATACTTGGCTAATCTTAAGATTTTGCCCCCAGGCTCTGTGAATTCAAGCTATAGCCCTAGTTCAAGGAGACTAAATGGAGAAGATCTAAGGATCCTGGTTCCTACCTGAATGGTTGGTGGTGAGCGCTGCTTGCGGGTAGTGGTGGTTGACAGTGTGGTGGTGGTCTCGATGAAGGTGGTGGACATCTCCGGGGGCATGGAAGTGGTGGTGCGTGAGGGGCTTCTGCTAGTAGGTACATCTCCCACCAGCCTCACACTGCCATTTATCTTGATGTTAACATGACCTTCAGCTGCCATGTTGAGAACCTTCAGGCCATTGTAATAGAGACCAGAGAGCTGGCCTTGATATGGCCGCTTGCGGTCATTACCGCCTATTGAGATGGTGGCTTGGGTGTTAAAAATGGTCAGCTGACGACCTGAGGGGAAGACCAGTGAAGAAGGAAACAGTTAGAATGGTTTATGTCACTTATTGTATTTTTTTATTTAGCTAATTGATTAACTTTATTGTTAACGGTTGAGCTTTTAAAATCCAGTCATAGCATTAAAAATGAATGTTCTTTATTGACTTGACTGTGAGGTGCTTCTCATGCAAATGTTTTGAGGCAAATTCCAAATGTCTTTTCATATGGTTAGAAATAGAAATGCAGGCCGATTAAAGCTATCACACATTTACAACTCTATATTAAAGTGGGCAAAGGAAGAAAGCTCATCTCATACATTTCAAAGGAACATCATGTTGATTCATGCATGTAGAACCACTAATGGGATTTCAAAGTGGCTTTAGACAGTGTTAAAGGGACTTTATAATCATCTTATGTAGTTTAGGCAATGACCTTTAAACGCATTTAATAATCCAAAGGACTTTAATGGTAAATTTGATGAATGGTCACCCCGCCCTTTCATCCTTTTTTTGAATGAAACTGTGAAGAGGTGTCAGTCGATTTCATCACCGGCTACAAACACAAAACTGCGTCAGCAATTGAGTCAGCAAAGTGGCGTTTCACTAATATTTCAGCGCCAATTTGTTGTCTTTAGAAACGTGCTGCATTACGGGTTGGGTTTATGGCCTATTCAACCAATAACACTAGCTGGAAGATCATTCCAATGAAAAGTAAAAAAAACAAATATCATTATTTGTGTCGAGTTCTGGATTAGATTTAAAGTTGGAGACTAGGAACTATGTACTTCTGCAGTGTTATTCTTGGTTACCAGTCCCTTTAACTGGTCAATGATCTGATGGAAATAACAAAAGAGGATCACAATAAAAAAAAAAAAGAATACGAAAATATTACGTAATGGGAAGGGAAGTAAATTATGAACATTTTAGGTTAATTAGTGGCAAAAGGCTGATCAGAACTGGTTGGACAAAAATATAACGAAACGTCATGACAAGGAGCATATGAACGCAAATTAAAATCAACGAAAACAAAAGAAAACACTGAGGGTCTTGTGAGGGTTACCTTTCTCATGTAGCCAATCTTCGACCGGCCGGGTATATTTGAACGGGATTTTCTTATTAGCCATTTGATAACGCTCAATGTCGCTGTTGCCTTTAAAGTTTGAAAGTTTAAAAGACATCTTAGCACATTGCACATTTATACACTGTTTAAGAAGGTTTAGCCGTGTTTAAAATGATTTAGTTCTTGTTTAGGTTTCATTGACAGGTTAAATTCAGTTTTAAGATTATAAAGCATTTTTATCAAATAACCAACTCATAAACAGTTTAACACACAATTATTTGGAACAAGAATCACGCATCACATTTAGACTTTATGACAACATACAGACAACTGTGAAAGCGAGACACATGCTAACAATTCATTTCAAACAGTATTACCATCTCCTGCTCAGCAATCCTTAAAATGAGGTGTAACAGTTTTCCCACTGGACATCATACGCTCTTACATTTCAAGGGGCCAAGGAACACTTTACAAACTATTTGTAAGGGAAAGAGTGAATGAGAAAGAGAGAGAGAGAGAGATAATGTGTAGAAGCTCTAAACCTGCTGGGAAATAAGGCTTGTGATGACACAGATTTGAGGAAGACACTGCATACAGATGAGATCATTACAGCGGGGTGTGTGGCCTGCTGCTGCGGGGTCCCTGGAAGCCCTCAGAGTATTCTGCCATTGGACTCTGTTATATTTCTTTCTCTGACCTGAGTGAAGTGTTAGTGCTGTAAGAGGGAATCTAACATCTGCCATCTTGGGTGTGCTTATGTCATGCCCAGCTGCTCGAAACACATGCTGCAACCAGTTCATCAAATGTTGGAGAAATGTCAACCAGTTCATGAAATGTCAAATAAACGTAGGAGCTTTAATATTTCAAGCATTTGTTGAATAAAAGTTGGTCATAATGAATGAAACGGCATGTTTTTCTTTCAAACTAAAGTATATTAAAAAGATTCTCTTCTTTGAAGTTTTCTTCAAAATAAAAGACTAAATCCACTGGTTACACTTTATTTCAATGGTCCACTTCAACACTTCAATGGTCCACTGTTTTTTTTTTTTTTTTTTTTTTTGCCAGCCAACTTTTTGGTAATTTTCACAAAAATGTAATGGCCCCCAGAATATTTTGTTGCGTTAATAACATGCAATATATCAAAAGAAAGAACAGACCTTCTGCTTTATAAAAAAACAGTTGTATTCATTCTTTTTTTTATCAACACTTGATTGTGGGTAAGTTTCATAAACAAGATACATTTTGAGCAGAGAGCTGAGAAAAGTTTTTGTCAAACACTACATCTGGATCAGATTCAGTACGATGATCAAAACATTGATGGAGTAGATCGAGTCAATCAACACCTCTTTGGGGATGACCCATTCCTGGGTCGATATTTCAATCGGTAAGATTAGGCTGTTTTGATTTACTGTATATGCTGTTTATTGTTGATGATCACATTATTTTTCATATGCATCTGCTCATGAGATCCCTAGTTTCTGCTTCTTCTTTGCCTGTGTTTTGATCTGGAGAGAAACAAAAAACCTTAAAATCTTGTTAATGGCAGAGAAGTGTTTTCTCATGTCAACTAACTCTCAGAGTATTAGTAGACTGTAGAGGGCTGCATTGGGATTGAGTCCCGCCGGGTCCCGCGGGACCCAGCGCAAATCTCGCTGTAGCGGGCGGTTTGAACTTTGCTGCGGGCAGGAATGGGCGGCTAAAAAAAACACGCGGTAGCCTAAGCGTTTTAGATGTCCCCGATAGCCTAGGCAGGCTACTATTCATCTTCCTGATCAGTGCTTCAGAATGCATGCAGGCCAGGGAAAAGAAAACAAACAACCCCATGAATCTCTTGAATAATAACAATACAAATACGCGTTTTTTCCTGCGGGACGGGAGAAGACACAAAATCAATGCATCTCTATTATTGTGCGGGAACAAATTCTCAGAGTTTTGCGGGTGCGGGCGGGAGTGGACATACATATTGCGGGAGCAGGTGGGAGTGTAACACCAGAGACAATTTATATAGAGACATGCCACTTCCTCAATCCTCAATACAACTATATAGGGAAAACTCGTAACGCCAAAGATGGCGCTTGTATGCACATGCCCCGCCCCTCCCGCTGGAAAGCCAATCGTCTGCTTTTAACAGTCAAGCCGGGAAACATGTAAGCCTATCGTCTGGTTCCACTGTTTGCGCACAGTTGAGGTTTGCGACAGCGGAGACGAGAACCCTTGCGCATGCGTAGTAAACGTATAACCTGTGGGGAAAAAGGCCTTTTAAACCTTATTTTGGGGCAAAGTCATCAAACTTTTTCAGCGATTTTTATCATATTTTACTGCTGTTTCTATACAAGCAGTTTTTATGTCCTGGTGACCAGTGAAAGTGCAGTTCTGACTCTCTGCCCATTCATTTAGATAGGAGCCTGGTCTTGTTAGTCCGAAATAGCTGCCCGGAGGCGTTGCCAAGATGGCGGCCGAGTGGCATGACTTGCCTAAAAGGACTTTGGTAACACATATGTGGCGGGAGCGGGCGGTAATGGTCAGGAATTCGGCGGGCGCAGGCGGGAGAAACAGTCCCGCGCAGGGCTCTACTGTAGAAGACTGTTAGGTTAGGGTTATCTGTAAGGGTTAGGATTAGTAGAATAAGTTGATGATGCAAAGTTACTTAAAGTCAGTATAATGTCTGTTGGTTACTTTATCAAAATAAATTGTTAGGAGATATTAAGCAGACATTAAGTCTACTAATACTCTAATGAGAGTTGACATGTAGGCCTAGTTGAAAAGTTACTTATAGTTAGCAGAATGTCTAAAGTGGACCATAGAAATAAAGATTTGTAAACTTGTAAGGATTTGTAAATTTGTTTTACAAATACACTTCTTTTGTGATTTGCCTTTGACATTTTAATATAACAGGGAATATCATTACAGGAATAGTTTGCCCCCCCAAAATGGAACTTCTGATTTTCTGGAACACAAAGAGGTATATTCTGACGAAAGTTCAAGCTATTCTTTTCCATACTTTAAACTATACGGTGGACAAGTCATATAGAGAATTTTTATGTTTTTATGGTGCTTTTTTTTGCCATTTTTAAAACTCAACAGCATCTGTACCTACTTACTCTCATTGTATGAAAAAAGCTGCATGAACATTCTTCAAAAACAGCAATATATGATAGAATTTTTATTTTTAAGTTCCTATGTTTTTTTCCTCATACATCTAACTTGAGAAAAAAATATACTTTACAGCAATTCTCTGGAGATGTTGTAATGGGAGAAAAGAAAGAAAGAAAGAAAAAAACCCTACAGCCTAAGAGAAAAAAAAAATGCAAAAAGGATTTGAAAAGAGCAAAGTTACTCAACACATCTCACTTAGCTAAAGCTACTGAGCGCTGAGTCACAGCGTACCTTCTTAGAACTTCAGAAAGAGAAAAAGGTGCATAGAATAGGAGTGCTATTCAGAAACACAAAGGTTCTACAGTGACGGGGATGAGAAATGGATGTGGCCGGTAGCGATTTAAAGCCCTGCTTTTCTTGTGCTCTCCTTTTAAAATAGGCAAAAAAGGGTCTTCAAAGTGAGCTGGTGACTGCTGGCGGAGCAGGGGGGATGTGGGCGAGGTAAAGGGGTGAGGGTGGGGGGTAATAAGTAGCTTCCAGGGCTGCCGATGCCTTTGATCCAGACGGGCAGCGCATGTGAGCCCGGGGCTGGAGTGGCTTTCCTGGATGGAGGCCTGCTTGCTGGAGAGATCCAGAAGAGCTTGAGGGTTTGGACATTCATTTTAGAAAACAGACGCTCTGCCAGAACTTGCTATCTCTCATGTTAATGTGAATACATATTATGATGATCTCTGCAGAGCTTTCTAACCCCCAAACAATGTTCAATGAAAATCGCTATACTCTGTCTATACTCGACACCACCTGATATACTTCAAGCGAAACTGGCGTTTGGTGTTCGAAACAGCTTGCCAAAGCGAACTTTCTGGAAAAGGTGAACACCTTTGAACTACCTGGTCAGTGGAGATTTCGTAATATTCATATACAGTACCTATATTCCTATTACGAAATCTCCACGAACCAGTGGTAGTCCAAAGGTGTTTAACTTTTCCAGAAAGTTCGTAGTAACTACCTAGGTGTGGCTCTGAGGCTCCGCCTCCGCCATTAAACATAACAGTTTAATGTTGATAATGTTTTAATGTTGATCACGTTGTTTTGCATATGCAGCTTATGCTTATGATATCGCTTGTTTCTGTGTCTTCTTCGCCTGTGTTTTGATCAGGAGATTCAGTACTCTTTTAGAAGTTGTTTAATAGCGCCCCCTACCTTGCAACAGTGAAAACACAGAAAGCCAGAAGTTTCTGTCAACAGCGGGAAAGCATTTTCTCACAAATTATGCAATTTTCCGGGAAAAGTGGGAAAAGATTTAAACAATCTGTTGTATAAAGTGCTATATAAATAAATGTGACGTGACTTTACTGGAGTGCCAAATTGCAGACCTGGTGCAAACACATCCACATCGCTGTGATCAGATGCTTTCTTAACAAATGTTTTCTCACCGCTGTCATTTTTGTTGTGTTTATTTTGTTAAAGAGAGCAGCACATATTTACATATTCATCTAAACAGCGCTCTCAGCAGTGTGAGCGCCGTCAGGATGTTCACTAACAGTATATTCCAGTATAAGCGTTGATATAACTTTACAACACAATCCTGGAGGGTCACATTTCCTCTTCCATAAGAGCTCAGATCAACAGAAGAGCTCTAATCTGTGAGAGATGTCTCTGTTTCCTCCCCTCCATCAGCACATTTGTGTAGGTTTCCCGCTAGAACAATATCTGAATCACTCCCTTCAGATGGAAGCGCTTTAGTCAAAACAAATGCTGGCGTGGTGTCAGTGCATCCCCTTTCGGTGCCAGAGATTTGCGGTAGGGGGCCGTCAGCAGATGCTGTAAGCATACAAACATGTGCGAATGAATTCTGTTGCCAGCTCCTCATGACCCGTACTGGTGAAGAAGTGAGAAGAGTCTGTTCTTCACAGGAACGCAATCGAACCTTGGCTATGAAGGTCTCGTGAACACATGTCAGAATAATGTGTGTTCTGCTGGGAAGTGCTGTGCTGTTCACAGGACGTATCTCTGTCTCCATTGAATGTTTAGGCCACTGCTTTTCATAACAAATACCCTACTTTTATAACTAATCTATAATGTTTTCTTTCAGTCAAATTGACATGTCATGTGTGGTTTTTCTTGCATTTACCATAATTTACAAATGTAAGAACAAGGGTGAAATTTAATGAGCAAATACAAAGTCAAGGGCTGTATTAAAATTGTGTCTAGTGTAAAGAAGTCACGTCATGTCATAAGGTTAAATTTGTAAAAAAAAAAAGCAGTGTACCTTCATCGATTATAGCATCACCTTTTAAATCTACCGCCAAGGAATTACTGATAGTCTTCCATGATGGGAAGGTAATGGAGTTATTGAAGAAGGGAAAAAGTTCCCAACTTCTCCCAGGAGAGCTTGAGCCTGTTGCTGCCTTTCAATTATCTCTTCTGCCATCTGTTTCTTCCAAGTAAACACACACACAACGGCAATAGTCCATCAACTGAAGCCACATTTTCCACCCTGCAATGCCAGCAGCTAAAAAATGTTATTCTGAAATCACATGGATGGAAAATGCTAATGTCACTCAAATACACTCTGCAGTGAGTATGACTGACTTGTAAGAAATACACCTATCTTTTAAGTAAACACTGTTGTTGTACTGATCCCATGTATCAGCCTGACTTTTTTAATGTTGACTCAACGAGCTTTGCTACAAAAATTCCTATGTGCTTGTACTAGCTGTACTGGTACAAATGGCAAATAAAACTTCAACTCAAAACTCAGAAGCATTGCTTAAGCATATGCGTAAGCTAACGCAATCATTAAACATTCAAACGCATATAAATCAAAACTGCCTAATGTTACTGAATGAAATGTCCAGGAAGAGGTATAGGACTGTGCAAGCTTTCGGGGTGTTAATGGAAAGGATTTAATCCATCTATGTTTTGATCATCATTCTGAGTCTTTGACAAAAATGGGATTTTCTCAGCTTTCTGTTTAAAATAAAAAAAAAGAAGCTAGACTAAAATTTGTTTAAAAGCAGAGGTTCTGTTCTTTCTTTTGATATATTGTGTGTTCTGATATTCCAACACAATCTCACAGCAATTCATAACTATTTTATTGTATATTTTCGTACTATCTGATTAAACCCCAGTGACGGGTACGTTTAGGGGCGGGGTTAGAGTTTCTTTTCAAAATTGTACATTTTTGTATGATTCAAATTCATAATAATTCCTAAAATAGTTACATTTTCCCGTTAGATCAGGTTGTATATCCATAGAACAACATATTTTGGGGGCCATGAAAGTTTTTTGAAAATGATAAACATTTAACTGGTGGGGAAAGAGTTACATTTCTTCTGCATTGAGAACTGCTTTGCCCATCATGCTTGGTTAAAACATATGAATAAGCTCAGAGATTACGGGTACCCTGGATATTCTCACACCATGCCATGGCAACACAGCTGTGAGGATCTGGTAACAGTTTATCGAGCGAGACAACAAGAACGCAGAGCATCACTAACGTGAAGGATTTCAAGTGCTATTCAGTCGATGAGTCTGAATCCTAGACCGTAATTACTCAAGAGATGGCACAGCCTTTAACAGAAGAATTGAAATCAATAATTGTCAAATTAAAAACATTGAATGTCCTGCATAATACCAGTGTTTCATTGTGTGTAAAAAAGAGACAGAATTACCACATCTGCAATTGAATGATGGCTGGAGGGAGTCAAGGAGCTAAATGTCATCAGAGGCAAAGCTTTAATGAAATTTGGAGAAAAAATGATTGGCCTTTTTAATATCGAGCACTTGTCTGATTCAAAGCTGTGGGGTTTAATCGAGGCCAATATGTAACATCATTGATTGAATTCAGGGGAGCAATAGGTCTTGATGATCAGCGTAACTTAGCTGGACTTTACTGCTTTTCTAACCAGAATTCCACTGCACATGACAGGTGGTTAATTCCACCCAAAGATAAAGAAATAATGAAAGAAACAAATAAATAAAGAACTTTTTTCAGTAAGTCCACTGTGCACAATATGTAAATTTCTTGGATTTATGGAATAACTGAATGGGCACATACATGTGAAACCCTATAGAATTCAACAAAAAATGCATGGAATAATATATCCAGCAGTGCACTTAAACAGACGTTACATGTTAACAATGACTTTTCTGGACTAAAAATAATTTAAGAATAATTTTTTTATGGTATGATACCTAGACAAACTGAGCAACTGGATAATAAATGCAGGCTGAATTAGACATTCATCAGAGTGATGTTAACAATGTAGCATACTAGATAGCTTACTAGATGTATTACGGGTGGAAGGAACACAAACACAAACAGACAGATGTATTAAAAAGACAAATTGTTCAGATTCTACTCTTTAACTCTTTTTTTCTGTTTGACGAGTCATGTTAATATGGCCGTCTATCCTCGTTAATTTCTTATTTGATACATGGGACACAGAACATTCTTATTTCAACAAGGTTATGAAAAATGTGTGGTTTACACTATGCTACGCTAAACACCAGTTCTCAAAGCGATTCTGTGGAAATCCTGTGTAAAAAATATCACATCATTTAAAATACTGCTAGATAGGGCTGCACGATTTGGGCCAAAATGATAAACACGATTATTTTGATCAATATTGAGATCACGATTAATTATCACGACGATTATTTGTTTATTTTAACCAAAACAAATTTTATTGTCACGTATAGGCTAATTATAACTGCTTTCACATCCATATTGGGCTACATTCCTGCTAATGTACAACTATGTGCTTCAAAATAAAATAGGTCCTCTTATTCACCAAAATTCAGTGCATCTCCTTAAAGAATAAATAAAAATAAATAAAACAATAAAGAAAATGTATAGCAAAACTTCAACAGGACACTATTTTACATTTTACATTGTGTAAATATATTTTAGGAAGCAAAAATATAAACTTGCATTGTACCTGCATAATAGATGTGAATTAAATGCGGAAAATATACAATCAATAAAAAACAAATATTCCATAACAGAATGTAACCAAATGAGAACATGTCAAGGCAGAACTGCACTATGGAAGTTCGATTAATGGATGAAATTCAGAGTCATTGTTATTTGACGCTTAAGAAATGTAAAATGTTGTGGTACAGTGTCAGTGATTAGTTGTGAAGTCTTGCTGCATAAATTGAATCTATTTAAACCTCCATATGAAAGTTTATGTGCTCGAATTATTTCTATTTTTTAAACAATAGTTCAAAACAAGACGTTTGTAGTACTGGTTATTGGAGTCCATTAATCGAACTTTCATGCCTCTTATATAGTAATTATATATTACTATGTAGTAGGCCTATGTACCAATTTACTAATGCAATTTACTAATGCTCACACTCGGTCTCCCACACGCACTTTCACTCGCGCGCAGACACAATCGTTATCTGTCGCGCGGTGTCGCTCGCACGCAGAGTCACACTCGATATCTCTCGCGCAGTTTCGAGCGCGCTCTTGGACACTCGGTCTCTCTCGCTCTTGGACACTCGGTCTCTCTCGCGCACTGGGACTCATGGAGGCACGTGATCAGACAGTGGTTACGGAGCGCTAGATTGGCTTTGCAAAAAAAAAAAACCTTTGATACTGAGCGTTCTGTAAACGGAATGACGCATTTTAAATATCGCTCGATCACGCGAATTTGATCGTGGGAAGCCAAAATCGTGATCAAAATTCGATTAATCGTGCAGCCCTACTGCTAGATGTCACGAGGTATGTCTACTGAATGAATATTTCACACAGACTACATCATTATATCATTACATCATGTCTCTGAGGCTAATTTGAGACTAAATGATGCAAGAGCTTCAACAGAAGCCACTACACCTATACCCGCTGTGAAGGTTTATTTATCCATGTACACAAACTACGTGTATTGAGTTTGACCATTTAGGACGTTTCAGGCATTATATTTAGCTTTAAGTGTGGCTAATAGTCTGTTAGGAAAATGGCATCCTATCTCTGGCTCTTTGTCAGTGTCCATAACAGATCCAGCTTGAATAGTGAGCTAATGTTGTAGCAGAATCAGCCTGTGTCCCTTTTCCTGTCCCCTCCGCCTGTTTGTTGGCCATTTTAAGGCTATCTCTCTTTAGAAAGACCTGCCATTGAATACAGCTTGAGTAACCCTGACGAGAGCTGCTCTCTAATTGGACGAGAAGTGCAGGGGCCAGATATCCCATGGAGGGCGCCGAAGCAACAGAGACATCAAAGTGGAGGACACAGAACCCAAATTAATTGAGTGTGAAGGGTTTTCGAGAGGTTTTTTTTTTTTTGATAGCGTTTGAGGGCAGTATTACAGCATGCCCTATTTCTCCATGTAGCTTGAGCTTCTATAACAAACCTCTGCTGTATTTGATGAACTCATTTGTATTCATCCATCATTGCTAGCTTCCTAAGTCTGAGAGTCACAGATACACAGAGGTCTGGGGCTCATTCTCCCACAGCTGCTGTATCTGCCACAATACTGCCTTAAACCTGCGCCCTACTCTTCCCTCTGCCTTTCAAATCCTCTCAAAAGCAGCTGGCCAGATGTCATGGCGCTAATCGCGGGGACAAAGGCAACGGCTTGGCCTGCCATTGTGCACAGGCCAGGTGCCCAGGCTTGATTACTTCCACATATGGATATTTCCGAGGACAATTAAGAAAGAAACGCAAGCCAAGTCGATCGAGTTAAGTGGCATTTGCTTTATTCTTTGCAGTGTCCTTTCTCTTCTATGCCTTTCCCTCAGCAGAATGGAGATCAGTGTTATAATTATGAACACCTGTTCCCATTTCTGAAAATTTGCATGCCTTGAAACATGCAGATTATAAATTAAATGGGCATGAAAAATATGTTGTCCTTTGCCTTACACCCCTTGATTTCCTTGAAAGCACATGATATCCAGTGGGTTTAACAGTAAAAACGAAATTCTCTTGAAGAAACTTTACTTTGGTTAGTAAGCAGGTGTTACCTGATGGAAAGTGCTCGTTGATCGGCCAGTTGTCCACCTGTAAGGTGGCGTTTCCCCCGTTCCTTGTGAAGCGCACCACATGATATTTCCCGTCATTGACATCTGTAGTCAACTCTTTGACGCTGATGTCCACTGTACCGATGTTGAACGTTACGCCCACCTTTCCTTCTTCCTGGAATAGAAACAACACAATCTTGTCAGTCTAGCAACACCAAACGGCTGATTTAACTTAGCGCAAAGGGATTAGGGATACAGTACACTAATCCGATACCGAGTCTCGATATTTGTCTGATACGGATCTTTTTGACGGATCAGGCATCAGTTAGATAGAACTGATCCAAAATCAGATACTGTGCGTTAGCCATAGTTGTTACTTTTTCAAGCTAAAACAACAACAACAAAAAAAACCTACTCAGATGGTTTAGTGTATTATATTTCAAATCTTCTGAAGCCATTAAATCAGTTTATTTGAGGAACAGACAACATATTAAGCTGTTAAATTTAAGTTCACGGAAACTCTTTTCCATTCAGCATCTTCAAACAGCATGTCACATTCATTTACAAGTTAGCATGGTAAAACACTCTCCGATGTTCCCATTATTATACGTAATCTGAACATAAATGTTTAAAAGGACTGTATTTTGCTGGAGTTGTGGTACTCGAAACCAAGTGCCTGTTAGATTAGATCGCTGACGTATAGGACTTAACACAACTTGTGATTTACACAGGAAATGGAATTTAAAACTCTGATGAAAAAGGCTCAGTCAATTTTTGGACAGATGCACTCTGTTGCACTTTTTTTTCTTTCTTTATTATATTTATAATGAATTATTGTGTAATTAGTAGTGGTGTAACGATACCCTCATGTCATGATTCGATACATATCACGATACTGAACTCACGATACGATATTATTGCGATACTCCAAGACACACGATAAAAGGTTAACAAAGAATTAACTGTTGATTAAAATGCTAAATTTGATATTGCATTGTGGGTGTAAATGAAAATGCTTGGGCTTGGTGCTGGACACCAAATGCACAGGACAATAGTGACACCAGAATAAACATATGCATGATTCTGAAGCTGAAAATACAGAATTATTTTAGACGAATATGCTTGCACTCTGTCACTGACTAGATACATTTAAAATAATGTAGGACACTTTTTACAGGTAACATAAGACATTTGGCATGATCAGGCCCACAAATATTCCCCCATTGCATTATTATACATTATATTCAACATTATATATAGTAGTTTAATGTAGTACTGACACTAAAACTCGATACGATACATATTGTTGCATTTTTGTATTGCGATATATTGTGACACGATATATTGTTACGCCCCCTAGTAGTTAGTGAGGTACAGCACTTAATTAAAAATCAAGAAAAACAGTACTGATTTTGGACTTTCCTCTGTATCTGCAGATTCTCAAGACTGTAATATCGGTATCAGACACACACAAAAAATGATATCAAGCATCCCTAAAAAGGATGAAGGTGCTAGCTTAATTAACAGGAAACATTTGCATGTTAAAGTGATCCACTTTTAGAAACCTCCTCAAAGATGCTGCCAATGAGAGCACGCAAATGGATTTGGATGCCAAGGCTGCTGTATTTTTCTTAAATCCAGTAGATAAGAATGAGCTGCCAACAGGAATGTGGGGCATGTACGTAACGATGACTAATGCACTTCGCACCGACCTACTGCAAATTCACAAACATGTGCTCTTCCACCTTTCTCATATGTATCCCACATGGTTCTTGTTTGGCGACTCTTCATAACTCCCCGATGGACAACTAAGACAACTTTTCCCCATTGTCTTTTGCACAGTCTACTGGCACTATCTGCAAAGTCAGTTTCACTGTTACGAATTCATGTTCACACATAGCCATCACAAAAGGGTTTCAAGGCATGCCAGACATGATGGAATGCATTTCCTTTCTTATGTCATTTGTTTTAATCCCCACCAGGACTCTTGAAGGTGTAATTACCAGTCCTCAAGGCTTGGCACAGAGGAAGCCATTTTTCAAACAAAAACGAAGGTAAATAAATACATGGATGTGCTGTACTGAAGTGTGTGATAAATTAATCTGCCACCACACGCTTCAGCGTTCACTGTTCCCCAATGTTTTCCGAGTGCCTCAAGACTCCCAGCATGCTCCACTTTCAACGAATGTAACCTAAGACCTGCTTACAAAGGCTCAATCGACAATTAACGTTGAGGTGCATTGAATGATTTTAATGAGAGGTGCACCATGAATGTTAATTTAGTGAATCCAGACCAAAAGCCAAAGAATGATACATTAATATGCGCTCTCCATTAGAGCCAAGAAAAGCAGTGCAGTGCACAGCAACCTGATCTAAGAGTCTGTTTAAGCTCTCTGATTGCAGATGCACTGTGTCTGGCACAACTTCTGCACATTCCCATAAAGTAACAGCTGGATAGTCAGGATCATCTGATTATTAGATATCCTAGTTCAGACAGGTTCTGTTGGGAGGGCTGAAATGATAACAAATGGAAGTGAGTCAGGAGGCTTCACAACAGATTTCTCTGAAGACAGGCATCTCTTTCTAGCTCACCGATTCTGTCTCGACCGCAAGCAACATTTGTTCAGTTTAAAAACCTAGAGAGCAGAATACCAGGCATAAGCACACTCTAGACGAAAAGGAAAGAAATGTAATTATGCTGCCTCCTTAGAAACCTCGTATTGGCAAATTCTAAGGCAGCCTATATTGCATCCTTTGTGCAGAAATACATTGTGGTGAGCTCTATGAAAAAAAAAAAATCCAAGATGGCAGGTAAGACCATAGATATGTATGTGTAAATAGACATGTTGGCGCGCATATCATTTTGGAACGGTCAGCGTGCCGTCACTCACAGTAAGAATCAGCGATGCCACAACATTGCGCAGGTACTGGGATTTAAATTCCTGAAGAAATTAGATAACCTTTTACAGGTGAAAATGTGTTGTTTTGTGTTTTTATATTTATTATCTCAAATTTACAGGTTTGGTACTATGGTACTTTTTAATGGTTATACTTTTACTTTTTAATGTCGTGTTAGCTTGTTGTATTGTGTTAGTTTAGCAAAATCATCAGCTGAAGTGTATTGCAGATGTTGATATTCATACATGAGTGTAACTACGGTTGCAGACGCTCAGTCAACTTGTTCTCGAGCCGGCTTTGATTGTTCCAATATGGCGGATGGCTTCCGTAAAGCTTTTAAAACCCAATGAAATAGCCACCGATGAGTCAGCAATGTTTTGTATCTATGGGTAAAGACTATACACATGTAAATAGGTGAATAAATAAACATATGACACTGGTTTCATCCAGAGCACTACCATAGTGATTGCATTATTATTAAAGTAATTTTAATTTTAAGCAGGTCCTCATCCCAAGCATATGCTCTACACTTCACCACAATGGTAACCCCCCAACACACTAACATAGCAGAACATTAAACATTAACAAGTCTCTCCATTTTTTTATATTGCTAAAAGAATTACATTATCTTGCTTAATATAACTCTTTATTTCAACATTTACTCTTACAATTCAGCCCCTTTGCAAAGCATGATGGGAATTGAAAGTCCTGTTTGATTGGGTTACTTGATTGAAACATGTTATTTCCAAATGAAAACATCAAGTTAATTCAAAGAGTAACTGTTTCAAATCAATTTAATATGATGTAATCACATTTGAACCAGAAACCTGATACGATGGTGTTAAATTATTGATTTTTTTGAGTGTGCGCTATACTGCAAGTTGAGTCTAGCAAAGAAAGCTATTTGGCGAGTTTCTGCATAAGTTGAAGTGTTCCAAATCAGTCACTCAGTCACAGTAGGCAGCTCACTAAGTTTTGGTTCCCTACTTGCATTTCCAGACTGGCATGATTGACATTTCCAATTACACTGCAATGGCCCACAACATTTCATTGTCTTTTCAAAGAATGGGATGGTAAAGGCAAATTTTATTCTAACGAAAATAAAACCATTCACAATGATGATAACAATAATGACTGGCTATTGTTACACACTATTATAGTCAATTTCAATTTCCATATTCAAGCTATTGAGCAGCATTAACACATCATGGTAAGACAGCACACACTAGATTGCTTTTTTCATTCGAAAGGGACCAGCACACAAGACTGATGCTTGTTGATTTTTGCACTTTCTCTGATATAATACCTGATGTCTCACAGATGGCGGGAAACATTTAGAAGGTTATTGCAGAATTTCACTGCGACCGAGAGCATAATGTCTGGTGTTTCTCCGCCGTGGGTGGTACCAGGGTAGCCAAGAGTGATAAAAGTAATTTGAGTTGCGGCAGGAGCCTGCACCGATAAAGAAGGGCTCTATCTCTCCCCCATGTAATGTTCACTGACACCAGTAATAAGCTACACAATCCAATTCTGTCTCTCCGATCAATGGCTCCAACAAAAAGTCAGCCCCAGGCATCAACTCTCTCCCAGAAAGCCTCTATCGCTGTGGCAGCCTGCAGACAGGAGCACAGTACCTTGATCTCTTGGCAAGGGACTGAACCATATGCAACCACCATCATCAGTGTAAAAAAAAAAAAAAGACACTTCAAACTTTATACAGCAAAGGTTTATGTTATAATTAGAACTTTTTCAATTGCTCTGTCCGAAACCCAGTACGATTCCCCCTGCAGTTCTGGATCCACTTTGAATCCTTTTGCTCAGAACTGTGGGACGTTTGCAACATCAACGTTCTGGTGCAGTTTTAGCCCATCTGTTGACCACTGTAGCTAGATAACAACTCAGAGATGCCAGTTTCACAAGTTATTTTCTCCTCTCCCCCCATTTTTTGTAATAAAATCATTTTATTACAAAGTCTTGGCATACACAGATCAGCACTTGTCTGTCTGTCTGCCAAAGGTACAAAGAATGCAAAGACTGCAAGCTGCTCGCCAAAGGTCATTTCTGCAGAGACAAGCACCAATGAACAATGCATTATGCTGTAATAGGCAGATTAACTGTAATCAATACATTTTCATTTCAGCAAGTAATTCTGGAATGAAAGCAATGCAACCTTTCTTGGTGTGCACCTGAAAAAAAATAGCATTCACTCCAACCAAACTCCGATGTTAAACAGACTGGAGCAAAAACTGTTGTCTGAAAGCAGAATGTTCTATTCCA